AGACAGATACGGGCATCCAGATAATATAGACAGGCACCCAGATGGATTCATAGCTACAAACACAGACGCTGGTAGGCACAAACACACAGGGCTTGAAGAAATCAATAGTTCTGTCACTCCAGTTCTCCTACTAGCAGAGTGCTGAATCGATTAGGAGTTTAATTAACACAGCTTCTGAAATCTCACTTTCTTTTTAATTCTTACATAGCTTTAAAAACAAGAACTAAGTATACACCTCCTGTGTGCATTGGGGTGGAGGGCTTGACAAAAATGTGAGTTGTGGGTCTGAGCAGGCCTCCCAGGGCCTTGTTCTCCTTTCCTACCTCTACCACAGCTTTGGGGTTGTGTTCGTTCTTTCCCTTCCAGGCCAGAGGTAAGGGGTATGAGTGTCTCCATTCAGAGGATGCCAGAGCTTTTCCTCGGGAAGCAGCCCCAACACACAGGTTTCCTTGGAGCCAGGTGGTGGTGCCAGGTGCCGTGATTTGGCTGTTTTCCAATCCTACCCATCCCTACCTCCCCTGCCTTGCCACCCTCCAGTATATTCTCAGAGCTCTCAATGCAAATGGCCAACCCCTAATCTGGCATTGAAGGCTTCTCACAATCAGGGCCTTGGTGTACCTTTCTGGCTTTCCTTATCATGGTTCCCTCTCTTCCAGAATGTACAACTCTAGAGCAGGGGACTTACTTATTGTCCCTTCGACTACCCCACCCTGGAATATGCTCTCACTGTCTTGACAAGTACAAACCCTACCCAGGGTATGACCACCTCCTCCAGGCACCTGCCCCTGATCTCCAGTGGAAAGGGGGAGTTCTCTTCTTGGAATTCCAAGCAGACCTTTACTCTAAGAAGAACACCAACTCAACTATGTTTAGTTATTTGTGCACTTGTGTCTTAGAAAATGTTCTTTTAGTTACAAGCAATAGAAATTAACTATTGGACTTGTCTGTCCACTCCCCAAGTGATCCTAGAGGTTCTCATTGAACAACTGAAGTTGCCATTGTTAACATGTCCCATGTACAATAATTCGTGTCTGTATGACCCTTGGTTCTACGTTCCACAATTTGGGGAAAGGAATTGGATTAGTGCAGCTTGGTTCAGAAGTCCACCCCTGGATCAAGCACCAATTATTTCCAGGGGCATTTTAACACAGTCCAGACGTGGCCACAGATGGCCAGGGATCACCCCTGTGTTTGGGAGGAGGGGACTTTAGCAAAGAAGGGGGAAAAGCTGCAGCCTTGGTAGCCATCCCAAGAGGTAGCTAATGAAACTTGTCTTTATGATTGACAGAAGAGAGAGAAAAAGATGCTGGAAAGATAGTGTAACCGATATCCACTGCAAAGTGCTTATGCAGTGAATGAGTCAGTGTGCAAGTGACTTGTTCATTTGTTGCCTCTTAAAAGCCCCTAGGTCATTTTGCCTCCCATTTCTATGTCTTTAGAACACAATAACACAGTTTTTCCATCTTTAATAACTCATTTCCCATCGTGTCAATCTCAGGGCATTCTCTGGGTAGCTTGTGTGATGGAGGCATATGAAGTCTCTGCATAGGTACAGACTTATGGCAATAAATGCCTGACATTTGGCCACTCATCAATGGGCATACATTTTCTGAATAACTGATATATATCAGACACTGGCAATAAGCCAGGCACAAGAGACTGTTCCCCATGAGTTCAGGCACACACACCAATTGCAGTAGAATGTTATTAGTGCCCTATTGAAGGATGCAGGGGCTCTGAGGAGGAACTCATGAGCTCTGGCTGTAGTTTTTTAGAGGAGGTAACATAAGAGCCAGGTCTTGCAGGGTGAGTAGAAACTTGCCAGGTAGAGAAGAAGAAAGGAGGATTCTAATCTGAGGGAGAACTGTGTGTTCAAGGCTGTAGAGGATTGTGGAAGAGAGTGGTATGTTAGGGAAATAGGGAGGTTGAATGTATCTGAGGTGTAGAGTGTGTTTGTGGCAGGGGCGCTAGGAGTTGGGGAAGATGGACAAGGGAGATGTGTGGGAAGGGAGACTGTGGCGATATCATGGAAGCTCTCTCATTTTAGCCTCAGGAGTTTTGACTTATCCAGGGAATGGTGGTCTGGTAGGGGTCAACTGAAGGATTTAAGCAGCGGAGAAACATATTTCAATATCTATGTAGAAAGTCCAAATACATTCTTGGGGGAATGTGAAGCATTGGGGCTTTTGAAAGTCAACATGGCAACATCTATTGAATTACAATTCTATTCCTGGGGATCTATGCCCTAGAATTAAGGTTCTGATGTGTCAGAACATATGCATGAGGGTATGAATGTTGCATTGTTTATAAAGGTCAGGAGCTGAACAAAAAGTGAATGCCCAGCAATGGGAAAATGGCTTAATAAGTTGTGGAATATACACAATATGGAATAGTGCTCAGACATTGGAAAGAGTGTTTTAGGATTCTGCTGGATGACTTGAAAGATTTCAAAGTTAAGTAAGAAAATAAAAGTGCAGCAGGATGTGTATATATTATGGTCATATTTACAAAACAAGCAATAGGTCAGAAAACCTTATAAATGTATATATATTTAGATAAAAGTCTGTGTAAGAATGCATGAGTGTGGAGAAAAATATAAAATGATTCTTACTAGGTTAAAGTTAGTTGGCTGAGGTTGGCAGGGGTGGGCAAATATAAGGGGATGATAATAAGATGCAGAAGATTAGAAGTTGTCTGCAATCAAAGAGTATATGAGATGTGATTCTATTTAATGTAAAATTAAATATGTTCTCATAAGGATATATTGGCAGTAGGGTGCTGTGATTTTGGATTTAATGGATTTCTCTTCTCTGTGTGTGTGTCTGTATACATAGTATACATAAACATATACGTATGTGTTTACATACATATGCATATGTATGTGTTCACATACATATGCATATATATGTATACGTTCAAATTCTCTGCAAAATGTAATAGCTATTTTCATGAAGGGAGGCAGAGGCAGAAAAATCATTGGTTATTTTTTAAACACGATTTAAAAAGCATTTCCTAAAAGAATCATATGTTCAATTTCACAATTAAACATAAGACTTGCGGTTAAAAATTACATGTAAAAGCCTGTAGTCAAATAGTTGCATATTTCAGAAAGTCCTCCTCCTTCTCATTAAATAACTGTAAACATGAAGACATGATTTTTTAACCTTGATAACAGGAGTCTGCCTTATAATTTCAACCCTACTTGATACCTTTGCTTCACCAGGCTGGCCTCATTGGTGCCCTTTATTTGCTATACTGACTCAGAATAAAAGCCAGGTCCCCATCTTGTCCAACACAGCCCTATAGGATCTACTCCCCTAACCCCCACCTCATTGCTATCAACTCATCTTTCACCCCAGTTGACTCTTCCCATGCTACTCTGGCCTCCTTGCTATTCCTCGCACATGTCAGGACACTTCTGCCTCCAGAGCCTTTGCACTTACTGATCTCTCTCCTTGGAGCAATTTGCCCTCAGATATCCACATGGCATCCTTCCTCGTGTGCTTCAAGTCTTTGCTCAAGTGTCTCTTTCTCAATGAGCCTCCTCTGATCCTCTTATTTTAAATTGCGAGGTCTACTCCCCCATCCACCCTTAACACTCTCTAGCCTTCTTTCATGTTCTCTTTTCCTTCCTAGCACTTGCTACTTGCAACATACATTGCTCATTTATTTTGAAAATTGACTGTTCTCTCACTTGAATGTAACATTCACTAGAGAAGTGATTATTTGTTTGCTGCTACAGTCTAGGTCTCAGAACAATACTTGACATGTTGTAGGTACTGATATTTTTAGATGAGTGAATGAGCTGGTGACAGGTGAAGAATGTTTGAGGCAGGTAAGATCAGCGGCAGAAAGACTAATCAGAATACTGTGTCAAGCCAAAGACAAAAGAACTTGCGCTCAGCCTTAGTCATTAGCTATGCATGTCTTCTGTTGTGAAATGATGGTGAAATTTGTTATTGTCTTTTTAGTTTAGTTTTGTTTTTAAGCTTTACTTTTAATTGACACATAACAATTATCTTTTAACTTCTCGTAAGTTTATCTTGATTTCTTTAGGCAGATCAAAAGCTTTTTGAGAGTGGAGGCTTGATATCTTCGTATCTGCTTTTCCCACAGTGCCTGGCACTTGTATGAAATATAAGGGACCCGACAAATGTACGATGCTTTATCAATGATCTGATATTACTGACTTTTACTTGACTCAGTGAATTTTAGACTGCATTTTATTTGATTAAGATCTTAGAAACTAATCTACGTTCTCATGCTGTTGTACTAAATAAAGTTAATTTTATTCCATTACAAAAGTAATATATATGCTCACTATAGAAAATTTGGAAACTAGAGAAAAGTTAAAAAGATGAAAAAGACTTTAGTTATATTACCCATTAAGAGCCTTTAGCATTGTAATGTGTTTCCTTTAAATATTTTTCCTAGATGGAGCTTTCTAACGTTATTATAATAATTGTGTGTTTACATTTCCATTTTTGCATACTGCATTCCCCACTTTATTAGCACACACATTTTTCTTAGCTATAAACTTTTGGAAAGCATCATTTTAAACAAATTCATACTACATAATCATAGCTATACCATAGCTCACTTAGCATAACCATTATTTGATATTTAGGCTATTGCCATTAACTTTTTTTTGAGAGATGGGATCTTGCTATATTGCCCAGGCTGGTCTTGAACTCCTGGCCTCAAGCAATACTCCTGCCTCACCCTTCCATTTTCCTCTTATTGTAAAGATCATTGGCTACTCTGTCAGACATAATTGCCTGTTGCTTATTAGTCTGGTCATCTGCCCTTAAAACTTTGTGCTTCAGACTTATCTGTAAGATGAAGAGAATGAGAAAGGACTGAGAATATCAAGATGCATGAATAGGAGAAACACTGCTAAGCATTTAATAGGTGCTTAGTAAATATCAGATGGCCTAGAATTGAGACCTTGGAAATCATGGGGTGTTGATAATTATCGTGGTGCTGTTTCCTGGTTGCAGACTGCACCTGATGCAGGTGGACTCAGTCCAGCGCTGGATGGAAGATCTGAAGCTCATGACTGAGTGCGAGTGCATGTGTGTCCTGCAGGCGAAGCCCATCAGCTTGGAAGAGGATGCACAGGGTGACCTTATCCTGGCAGGTGGCCCTGGCCCTGGAGACCCCCTGCAGCTGCTGCTTAAACGGGGTTGGGTCATCAGCACAGAGCTGCGCAGGATCGGGCAGAAGCTGGCCCAGGACCGCTGGGCACGGGTGCATAGCATGAGCGTGCGTCTGACCTGCCATGCCCGCTCCATGGTCAGCGAGTACAGTGCTGTCAGCAGGAACTCCTCGAAGGAAATGGGCCAGGTCAGCTGCCCTGGGATAGGAGTGGGCGGGAACTGGAAGTCAGGATGCTTTAGAGAAGAGTGGGTTTGAATCATATGTTGTCTGAACCTTTTTTGCTCCAGAGGCCTTTCTCCCCTTCCAGTAAAGGAGGAAAGAAAGAGAGTAGAACCTTTACTGAGTGCCTACTATGTGGTGGACATTGTGCTAGGTGTTTTTTTAAACATGTATCTCATTTAACTTGCACAACCTGTGAGGTAGGTGCCACTACTTTGAGAAACTGTGTAGTGGTTAAATTTATTGACTTTAATGCCAGATGGCTTGGGTTGAAATGTCAGCTCTGCTATGTGGACCTCGGCAAGTTGCTTAACTTCTCTGTATCCCAGTTCCTTCATCCTAAAAGGTATAATAATATAATTTATTTTATAAAGTTGTTGTGAAGACTAGATTAATTGTTACATGCAAAACACTTAAAGCAATTGATTAAAAATGTTAGTATTACCTTTATTTTATAGAGGAAACAGGAGTTCTCAGAGGCCAAATAATTTATTTAAAGTTACACAGTGAATGGTATAATAAGTAGGGTCCAATCTAAGCTTTTCTGATTCCACAGCCCATGACTTTGAATCTTCTTCTCAAAGCCCAAAGTGAACCATTAAAAATCTCCCTTGTTATTAATTCTCTCTTTCGTCATTCTCATTTCACCTTAGTGCTTTTCCCTTTGCCTCAAACTCTCTTCCTCAGCTTTGCAGGCATTAAAGCTTCTCTTCATTCTTCAAAGCCCAACTTAAATGCCCATTCTTTCCTGAAGCTTCCCAGCTTCCTCAGCATAAATAATTGCTCAGTTTCATATTCTTATACTCCCGAAGCAGCCTACCCTGATCTCTTTTGCCACCTGTGTCACACTGTGTTATATTTTAAGTGCCTGTTCCCCAAGTCACATTACTTGATTCTTCATTTTTAATGCCCCTGAGTGCTCAGCATAGCAGTTGGTCCTCAGTTAATGCTTACTGAGTTGAATAAAATGGACTTATTTTTCTACAGATTGAGAAACTGCTAATGGAGAAATGCTCAGAGCTCTCGGCAGTCACAGAGAGGTAAATTTGGACCCTGGATCTCCCAGGGTCTGCCCGCCCGACCTCTGGCGGGAGAAGGGGCTGGTAGCTTCTCCCAGAGGGAGAACGGGAATGGGAGGCCTGGTGGTGGTTTCAGAGTTTTCTTTTTCTGACTTTTGTCAGAAATCTTAAAATATTCTCTTGAAATTTTCTGCCCCATATTCAGGCCCTAGGGATAGGGTAAAAGGCAGAGGTGAGGCCTGGGCATAGAAAGAAAGAGGATTTTCTAGGAGTTGGTAACAAGGAAAAGGTTTTCCACGGCTTTGGGAAGACCCACAGGTCCCCAAAGTCAAGGCAAGGTGAAAGCAGATACTCACACCCTTACACAGACATACACATAGACTTCAATGCCCACAGACACTCACTTTCTCATATACAGATATATAAACACATGCTTGGACCAGCACAGAAATACACTCACACCCTCTCCTCCATATTTCACACACATAAATATCCATATGTTTATACTCAGATATGTACACAAACTCAGCCTCACATGTATGCACACCCAGGTGTGTGTTGACATTTTTCTTCACCCTTCCCAGAGCCTGTATCCTGAAGATAAAACCTGAGCTCCCTGAGGTCTTTTGCTTTCCTGGGTGGAACACTGTCAGGCCACGGGGTAAATTTGAACCTGATCGCCCTCTGTTTTTCTTGTCTGGGAAGAAAATTCTCAAGACTTTCTGCACACTCTAGGCAGCCATTTCTTAAAGGGCCACAGGCATTGCCATCCACCTTTACAGAGGTCACTAGCAATACCTGGCACTTGGCACCTCTCTTTGAAGCTTTTTGCCCCTCCATCTCCCACCCCCACATCACAGACAAGATGGACCCTGGCTGCAGTGATGGCAGATTCTGCAGGGAGAAGCCCAGAGGTATACATTTTCCACATTCTGATGGCCTTTCTTCCTGGTAATGTGGACTGGTAGTCCTCATCTCAGGCCAGCACATCTCTGCACACTGAGACCAGGCGGCGAGCCAGCTGTGGAATATTCTATCTCTGACTCCCAGTTGCCGATGTCTTCACCACACATCAGGCTTGGAGCAGGTCCAGCTCTGGACCCTGCAACATTTCTGGGCTGACCACATGCCCCTTCCATTGGCCCACTCCATGGTTTCTTCTCTTCAGGTGCCTTCAGGTTGAGAATGAGCATGTCCTGAAGTCAATGAAGGCCTGCGTGAGTGAGACCCTGAGCATGCTGGGCCAGCACTTTGGCCAGCTGCTGGAGCTGGCCCTGACACGGGAGGTTCAGGTCAGTGCAGGCTGGGCTGCGGGGAGGGGTGCTTGTGTGGACCCTTGGAGGAAAGGAGAGAAAGAGGGGGCTGAGCCAGGCTTGGGGAAGATACTGATGTGGACTTTAGTGGGAAACATCCTACTCAAACCACCAAAGTCAACTCCAGCGTTTGTGAAACAAAACTGTCAGAGCTAGGCTGAGGCTTCCCGAGCACCTAACCCAACTCTGCATTTTCCAGCTGTGAAAACTGGAGCCCAGATTGGGGAGAAGCTTATCCAAAGTCACACAGCAAGATGGTGGCAGAGCCCAGCATCTCCCAATTACACTTTCAGTATTACTCCCACCACCCTCAATCTTCTCTGTTGAGTTAATGTTCACAGTGTACCCAATGGGTCCTTACTATCCTGAAAGAATTGAGGCACCTGCAGGGAATAAGCCAATTCTAGAAATCCTGACAACAAAGAAGAATCTAGAAAGATCATATAGTCTAACCCCTGCCTCTAGGCAGGCTTGTGCTTGATTCCAGAAAGAGGGAGGGATTTGGAGCCTGAAGCATCTACTTTCAAACTGTGGTTCACCGTGGAGCCTTGGTTAAGTTCCTGAACCTCTCTCAGCCTCTTTTTCTTCCTGTATAAATTGTTAAACCTTCTCCAGAAGAAAATTTTGAGAACTAAGCAAAGGCATATGGAAGGTGTTTAGCACATAGTGTGGGTTAAATACATGTTATTTCCCTCCCTTGCCCTTTGCTATTTTAAAAACCTCCCAGTAAAGCAGATTCCATAAGGTTTTCATTATGAAAGGTATTTATGGTTATTTATAGTTACAGAAATATTGTGTTACATATTTGCCATTCTTTTCCCACCACCAAATAAAAGCCTACCACAAATAACAAATCTCTTTCCATGTCGGCTCCTCTCCAAATTCAGCCTCTCTGCTGAGCCCAGGGTTTGCTTTCTCTCCTTCCTGAGTGTTTGGCTGGTTTGGCGCAGGCCCTTCTGGCTTGACTCACATGCTGGTCCTGCCTCATCCCCACTCCTCCCACAGGCCCCCATGTCAGGGCAGCTGGCCCTGAGTATTATCACCCCCCACCCCAACCACAGGAAGGTCCTCAAGGGCCACTCTCCATGTCTTGACAGGGACAAAGGGAAGGAAGGGCCACAGGCTGGGGTGCTGAGGCAGGCACCTGGAGCTGATGAGCCAGTGCTGACAGTCACATGCAGGGGCAGGCAGTGATCAACCATCAAATCCAGAAGGACGCAAGGGACACAGGGACCAAAATGGGCAAAAAGGTCGAGGGAGTGACGAGCAAGAAATATTGGAGTTAGTGGTGGGGAGGGAGACCTGGAGCAACTTCTGAGCAGGGGTACAGGTGCTGGCTGTTACTTTTTATGCCATTTTTATGCCCACTTTCCTGAAAATGCCAGGTTCAATTAAAAGAGCTGAAAAGGACCGGGCGCGGTGGCTCACGCCTGTAATCCCAGCACTTTGGGAGGCTGAGGCGGGCGGATCACGAGGTCAGGAGTCAAGACCATCCTGGCTAACATGGTGAAGCCCCCTCTCTACTGAAAATACAAAAAACATTAGCCGGGCATGGTGGCGGGCACCTGTAGTCCCAGCTACTCAGGAAGCTGAGGCAGGAGAATTGTGTGAACCCGGGAGGCGGGGGAGGCGGAGCTTGTAGCGAGCCCAGATCATACCACTGTACTCCAGCCTGGGTGACAAAGGGAGACTCATCTCAAAAAAAAAAAAAACAAAAAAAAACAGACAAACAAACTAACAAAAAGGGCTGAAAAGGCGGTGTTAAGCTGAACTGTGAATGAAATCCAGCTGGGTTTGGAACTAGTCATCAGTGTTTTCTATGAGGCAGCGAAGAGGCAGGATACCTTTGATGCTATAGGTCAGAAGAGTCTGGGAAAAGCTCCCTGGGCTTCCTTGGAGCCTACTTCCCTGGCCTTTGGGCTGTATAGTTGGATCCATTCTGCTATTCCTTCATTCTGACCATATTCAGGGTGAAATTCCTGATCTGGTGCTTCTACTTCCCCAGCTGTCCACTGCTCTAATGCCAGGTCTGACCACCTGGTTCATTGATGCCTGGCCTGGAAGCTGAGCAGACCAGCTCCTGCTTTGTTAGAATGGGTTCCTTATTGGTCTTCCACCCTGGTAGGAGTAGGGGAGTGGGGTGTGTGGCCACAGAGTGTTGTCCTCCATTCATCTGCATATTAGTTTTCTTTCTGATAACCCCCTTTCCTGGTGCTTTCCCCCTTCTCTGCCAGCGTGCCCCATGTCCCTCTTAAAGGCTGAGTCTACCATGCTCATAATATATTTTTGGCTGATCTTTGGCTTCTTTTTACATTAGAAAGTTTCCATACAGGACAGCAGTGACATCAGGAGATATACTGGCTGAAGACAGGGTAATTTGTGTTCAGTGTTGTAAGCATGTGTTTCTTAAACTAGTGACTCAAATATTGTTCCTTAGGATATTAGTAATTATACCAGGATCTTACATTTGTACTGTCTTGATGTAAATGAAATCAAATCTATTTCTTTACATCAAAATTTGTCTTATGATGTGCCATTCTGCTTTGCAAATCTTCCAGAAAGTCCTCATGCACTTATAGTATTTCTTGTCTGAACTGCAGCCTCCATAGGCAGGGATTTTGGTTTGTTTTGCTCATTCATATATCTCTAATTACTAGAACAGTATCTGTTATAGAATGTCAAGCAATATATTCCCAACTTTCAGGGTCAGAGATTTAAAAAATATTATTAAAGCATCTATTTACTTCTTCTGAGATGCGGGTGTTTTAGGAAATGCAATTCAGGAAACATTCTTTTAGCACTAAGAAGTCATGTGGGCTTGAGCAGAGGAACAAATCTCCCCATCCCCTTCACCCCAGACTTAAGGGCTCTTTGTACCCCTTCAATTATGGTTGGGAAAGACTGGTACAAATTGAGAAGTCCTGAAGGAACCTCCCACTGTTGTACAGACAGCCTGGACGACAGCTCCTGAAGGAAACCCAGCCCCCCACACACTGGAATGAGGCCCTCCTTGCTGAGATGAACAAAGTATGAAAATTGAAGCGATTGTATCAACCTAAGAATCTGGGACTTTTGATTATTCCTAGAGGAAAAGAATTTAAGGTTTTTCTTTTACTTTATTTTTTTCCCAGGGAACTTTAAAACTTTAAAATAGGAGCATATTAAAATTTTGGAAATATTTATGTTTGTCATCTGACAAGTGTGTTTGGATTATCTTAGTATTGCCATTTAATCTCATTGCAACTTCTACTTACCTATATTGGGCAACATGACTGAGCAAAATCTGCTCAGTGGGAGAGTGGGAAATATAATAGGAAGCAAATTTCAATCCTTTTGCTTTTGGAATAATCCAAAGTCCCAAATTCTTAGGTTAGTACAATCTCTTCAATTTTTATACTCTGTTCATCTCAGCCAGGAGGACCTCATTCCAGTGTGTGGGGAGTTGAGTTTCCTTCAGTAGCTGTAGTCCAGGCTGTGTCTTCAATAATGGGTGGGGTTCCTTCAGGACTTCTCAATGTGTACTAGTCTTTCCCAACCATAATTAAAAGGGTTCAAAAAGCCCTTAATACTGGATACATAATACTATCACAGCACTACACATATATTCTCAGAAAGTTAAAATAAGCCAATCCTCAATTTCTATAGAACTCCAGGAACTTCAGGCAACCTGCTGTCCCAGGATGCCATCCTTAGGGTTGCCAAAGGCCTTAACAGATACATGTTCATCTGTAGCCAATAAGAAAAAAAAAAGGATGGGTGACTGAGATGGTCTGGCTGGCAGCCTTGGTAGGATGTCAGTCAGTTTATTTCAGTTGTCTATAGTCTATAAAGATTTGTGAACATACACCCACTGGGGGAAAAGAGTCCACCACAGGTTAATTGTGGTACTATGTTTACCATATATGGGGAGAAAGAATGCCTCCTTTCTCATTGATGGGCATTTGAACCGTTTCCCTTTTCCTGCAAAGTCAGGCATTTGTAGCTTCTTTACTAGGACTTGCTTGATTTGCATTCTTTCCCATTCAGCATATTCAAAACATCTTAATTTCTAGCTCCCTGAAAACACTGTTTCTGCCACTCCAGCATGCATTGATTTGGGCTTCCTGAAGTGACAGACCAGTAGTCTTCAAACCATTTCAAATGCACCGCATCCCCCAGGTTCCCAAAGATTTCCCAGGAGAAATGCAAGCACATATAGTTTTAAGGAAATCTTATTTCCAGATCTTCAATTTTCATTTGTTTTCTTCCTTAAAAATGATCTTCCCAATAATATACTGAGTTTTTTTATAGGCTTTCTATTATTTTCCAAAAGGCATACTCTTCACCCATCCCAAATTTTACAGTACATTGCCTTGCCATGCAAAAATCTTGGTATGGGAGTGGAGAATCAAGCAAAGAAAAAGCCTTCATTCATGAACCATTAAGACCCTTAGGCTTCCATTAACTATTTCCATGCTTTATACATATTTATGTTGAATGTGCCATTAGAAATTGTGTATTTTGGCCGGGTGTGGTGACTCATGCCTTTAATCCCAGCATTTTGGGAGGCCTGAGGTCGGCAGTTCAAGACCAGCCTGACCAACATAAAGAAACCCTGTCTCTACTAAAAATACAAAAAAATTAGCCAGGCATAGTGGCATATGCTTGTAATCCCAGCTACTTGGGAGGCTGAGGCAGGAGAACTGGTTGAACTCGGGAGGCGGAGGTTGCCACAAGCCGAGATTGTGCCATTGCACTCCAGCCTGGGCAACAAGAGCAAAACACCGTCTCAAAAAAAAAAAAAATTGTATATTTTTCCCAGTGTGAGCAGTTTCTCAATTCAGATATATTGGTGTGTGTGTGTGTGTGTGTGTGTGTGTGTGTGTGTGTGGTTGGAGGGATGATTATAAAAGTTTTCAATTTATTTTATCCCTTCCATCCGTTTATTCTCAAATAGTGCATGGTTCTTGAGGGACATTCTCCTTAAACCAAAGCAAAGA